TGTCCCATGTAACTTTTGACATCAGGGCACGTCCAGACAAGCGCGGTCTTGCGGTATGTGGCGCCGCAAACACGTTTGCAGTGCCACATATCGCACAGTCCGGGGTTCTCCGCACTGCAAGAGCATGCTGCCTGAGCATGTGCTGCGCTGGTTTATTTTTTATTGTGGGTATCCAGGGGTCAAAAAAAACTGCAGGAAAAAGAAAATGGCACAGTGCACACATAGACAGCAGGCGCTGCTGGAAAAAAGAGCTGGGCCACTTGGAGCTGTGCTGCAGCTGCCAGCCAGGCTCCGCATGGCAGAATCACTATGGCTGCAGCCCCGGGAGGCCCCCAGGACCCCAGGTAAGGCTGCTTGGGCTAGCACTGTGCTGTTCACAGCATCCCCTGCCCCACCCACCAGGGTAACTTGCCACATGCCAAATTGTGCATGGCACAGCCATTCCCCAGGGACAAGTAGCTGTAGCGCAAGGTGTGCCACTGCTACTTGGCCCCAGGGAACCAAGCATCTATGCACGTCTGGATGTGCCTTCAGTGGCAGTGTCATGAACTAAATGCAAAACATTCTGTCCCCTTTGCATAATTTAACTTGCAAGTTGAAATTTTAAATCAAAATGAGCAAACAAAACATTGTCAAAGTATATAGTATTTGTTTGCAAATGAAATGACCCCTGCAGTCTTATTTCTATCAAACCATCTCTTTCAATAGGTTAGAGAGACTTGGCAAGGCTTAAGCTGAGGATATTTTTTCATAAAAATATGAAGGAACAGTGCATAATATATTTGAAATTTCTTATTACATTTCTTACTTCTACTTTCTTTCTTTCTTATTATTACACCAAAGAGAAGTATATCAGAGGTGGGTAGGAAATAATTTTCCAATTCCCTGAAAATGTTATCTATCCTAAATTGAGATGAAAAGTTGAAATAGCAAAATACCGTCTCACAATAATCACCCAGAAAAAAATTTTGTCCCAGGCCAATTGAATAATTTAATTCTGACAACTTTTAATTATTGTCAGAACTCAATGTTTAATGTTTTATTATAATTTAACTACAATTTAAAAGTAAAATGAAAAGCAATTAAGTGGATTTTTTTCCCCCAAAATGTTTTGAATCAGAAGATTCAAATCAGTAGATCTCAAGTGGTCTATTCCCACAAACTTTTCTGGTCTTTATGAATCAATGGTCTTTCAGAAAATTCCTGACCAGATCTTTTTATTACCTCCAGCACTTCTAGTCCTTGTGTTAGGGTGGTGGCAGAAGTGCTATCAGGCAGTTCCTTGAAGACATTTGGACCAGAGACCAGAATCAAACCCAGTTCTGTTCACTTGGGCTACGTATAGATGCTCAAAAAGCCCAAAGCTGAATCAGTTCAATCTTCACAGGCTAGTCTAAGCTGCACAGATCAAACCATAAGCAAGTGAACAGACATTTGCTTTTTATTCCAGAAATGCAGCCACATGCTGGCAGTGGCCCAGGTCAGAAGCCAGGGGTCAGTAGGGCATGCCTCCTGTCTGCTGGAGCAAACAGCTTGGGCCAAGGCTAGCCCACCCACCCTGCAAAGCATCCTGGGATGCTGGGGGACTGTGAGTTAACTTGGATCTGGAGGGGATCCTGGGACAGAAGTTTAATAAACCAATTTAACCTAAATGAATTAAGTCTGATACTACATCCATCCAGGTTTATCTTAAACCAGTTTTGGCTATTTTGAAAGTGGTTTATGTGCACTGAATTTCTGTTCTGTTACAAATTAGAACTGATTTCCAATCATTTATACTGGTTTTTGTGTAATTTCTGACCCTTGCCTTAGAACTGGCCAGAACATTTTCAGAAACATTTCATTTTACAGACCTAGTTTTTGAAGTGAATGTTTTGCAGTAACCTGTCAGTTGCAAAAGTTTGTCAAGCATGTTCTGAGAAAGATTTACTTTGGTGTTTACGATATTGGCTGTTGTGGGTTCAGACCCTGCTCGACCTTATTTGAATTGATTTGGGATGAAAAACTGTACTCTGATTTAAGCAAAGCAGGATTTGAACATGGTTCCTCTATGTACCAAGCCAGTGTTCTAACCAGCTATATGCAACCAAATGAGTCAGCTGACACAATTTCTTTTTGCAAAAATCCTTTGCTTTTATTTCATAGTGGAAAGAACCTAAATTTCACATATTCAGTAACTTCTGGAATTGAATGTTTGTCCTCTGCACAGCACTAATAGAACTGATAGGAAGAACTATAGCCTGTCATGTATGAACTTCTGCACTGGTATTCAAAAATTAACACATAACATCTGTATCTACTACAGAGTTTCCGTATAGAAGTAAGAGAATCAAAGAACAAATTTTGACTTGTCTGGAAAACTTTAGAGAGTGGCATTGAAGAATAGTGTCATTTTGATTAGTTTCTCAGCAGGCTTATACACCAGCTGTTAGCATTCCACGCCTAATTTTTTCTGTATTAACCATCCTTTTCATATCTCAGTGCTTCCTTCTCTCAGTAGGAGTGCTGCACTTCTGTGATTTATGTGCTCACACACTACTAGACTTGAGTTTGCCTAGCTGATTTTTATTATTTCCCACAAATACTCAAGTATTTTTTTAAACAAGAAGTCATTCCTGTGCAACCCAAACATGCAGTGCACTAGGACCTGAAAAAAACAAACAAACCAAAAACTGATTCTAGGACATGAAACAGTTATATCCAAATACAATTGCTGCATGATAATCATTTGTTGACTCTGCAGGGTCATGCAGTATCCTGACTGTCATCTTTCTCCAATTTCCTGTGGACTGCTTTGCTATCTCTTTAGTTTACTTTGATTCCTTTTCTCTCAGTTTTCTGACATCACTAAGCAACACAGAAATGTAAAATATGGTTGAGAGACGTGAATATTATTATATCTTTGCAGGTTTTTGTTATTTCATTATAGGTCTAGTTTCCTTCCTACTATACAAACATTTTAGGAAGCAGTCAAACTAAATAGACTTTTTTCATTACTTGAGAGGAAGGAAATGCAAAAAATAGACAAGTGATATAAACAGTGCACAGGAAATTAGATGCTTAAAAATTGTTTCGGTATTAGGCAGATGGTATTAGGCAGACCACACAGCCTGTTTGGAAAAATTGTACCTCACTTTTAGTATTAATATACAAGTTGTTTTTGTAACATGGATAAGACTACTTCTGTCTTCACTATCAAAATCTGTTCTTCTCACAAGAATTACCCTCTCTCACTAGGATCTGAGAGTTTTACTCACTCTGACATTAGTGAGACTGGTGTGGAAGTAGGCAACAACTCAGTATCAGTCAGAAGATCAGAGCCTTCCCCTCACTTATTCCACTTTCTTTTGTTTTGGTCTACCAGCATTCTGGTCACCATCTTGTGCAGATAAACGAGACAATTAATACAAAGCACAGAGAAAAAAGTTATTACTTTATTTTCCTTACCTGAGACTGTGCTTGAAGTGTCAGTTTTAGTTCCTCACTCTCTGCAAAGGACATGGTGGTCTTGCCACAGACTACTTTGTACAGCTCTTCCCAGCACTCGACAGATTTATTCTTGCAAAGCACATTTAAGTACCCAGGATTTTGTAAGCCACTCATGGCACATTCATAAAAAGTCCCGTTGAGCAAAGCCACAGAAAGCCACATCACTGGGGCTATCAGGGCATGTAAGGTGATTTGTCCAAAGACATAAAAGAAACGGCAGCTGTTCCCTTTGGGGAATATTTTCCTGGGGTTCAAAAAGCAACCTGTGAAGAGTTTCCAGGTCCTGCTATTCAGGAAATACCCAATGACTAGCAACACCAAGGCTGGGGCGAAGAGAAATACCAAGCCATACGTGAAGTTTTCGCTGCTGCAGGGGCACTTGAAAGCAACAACAGAAAATAAGCGTTCACTTCCCACTGTCAGTAGAGCCATAAAACTGTAGCCAATGGCAGTTTTCTGGTTAATAAGGAATTTCAGAACTGTTTGTATACCATCCATGTTTGCTGGCCACTAAAGATGAAAAAAATTAAAACAAAAAAAAAAAACAAAAAAGGAAATGAGCCTTTGTCTGTTGTGCAGCAATTTGTAGCCGTGTTTTAGGGAGGAGCTCTTCAGAAGAAAAATATGCTGCTAGTCTGTCTGGCTTAGTGCAGTCTCAATGAAGTGATGATGTCACTGTAAATCTTTCCTCGTGAAACAACACCCACATGAGAGTACCCACTGGCTAAGTAGATGCTAGATAGCTACAAGGATTATTATATTTTTATAGTGATCTGCATTATAAGCTGTGATGAAAACAATGCCTCCCTCTCAAATAAGCTGTCAGTCTCCGTTATTAGCCCTGTTGTTTGACTGCAGCTTCAAATCAGAAAACAGCAGACACCCACATTTATTTGCCCCAGTTCTTGAGCTATGATCTTCAGCAATTGCAGAAATATATTTGCCCCAGTTATATTCCAGGGCTTGTCTCTACCATATCAGTGCTGCATTTAGACAAAAGGTGAATTAACATGCACTGTTCATGCCATGCCCACCCAAATCTTATAGGTACACTCCAGACCTGGAAGTTCACCAGTGGTGATAATCCAGGTTCATTAACTGTGCTCAGTTTACTATGGTGCTTTTATACCAAAAAACAACTGAGTAGAACCACCGAAGGTGGGGGGGGAATCTATACCACTCTAATGCATTATCTTGGGATCCAGAGAAGCCTAGATTGTATGCTGTATGCATTTTATGCTGGACACAGCATAAATTGAGGTGTTCAATGAGCCCCGATTTTCTTTAATAAACAGAACAATGGAATGTGGTGTCTAAAAGCCTCTTTGCAACAGAAAAACGGCTCTATTATTTTTCTGTAGTAAAAACAAGAAAAAACTCCTAGCATGACTTTAAAAATGTGAGCTGCGAGTCTCTCTAGGGGTGCCTTATGTCTAAAAAGATTAAAAACTACTACTCTATCCTGTTTTATTTATAAGATGTTTATGTACCCATTTTTTTGTTTTTTCCAGGTTGCCTTCAAGATGTACCTCGGGATTACTCCTAGCGTGACCTGCATCAATAAAAGGGGGAATAAATTCTCCTTAATTCTGAACAAGAATCCTTTAGTGGACTTTGTTGAAGAACTTCCAGCAGGGCGGTCTTCACTTTGCTACTGTAACCTCCTATGTGGTGTTATTAGAGGAGCCTTGGAAATGGTAAAAAACTTTGCCATTCATTTTTTTTTCTATCTGTGTTATGTATAGACAGAAAATAGAACGGCTAAATAAACAATAGCATCTACTACCATTTAAACTCTGTAGCAGGCTAAACAGTATCCACTCCCTCACCCCCTCACACCAAATACACCAAGCCAAATCTGCTCCCATTTGACACAAGGTGTATTTTCAGAAATATACCTTCCAAATAAATGGAGTTGACTCCCATTTTATTCTGGAGAATAGAATGTCTGTGAATAATGGGATTAAGTCATCATGGTGCATCAGAGAGCATTACATATTTATTTTTAAATATAAAGCCTTAACAAGGGAATAACATAGATAAATTGTTACTTAAATCACTATGTCACCTTAAAAATCTATTGCGTCTCTGCTGAAGATGATACAGCTATATCACAGATGAATTTGCACCACTTTTTTCCTGCATGAAAAATCCAATTTGCTTTTTTTAAATTTTAGTTACTGTACAACAAAATTAGCATTGTATAAAGTATCATATACAGGGCTGTAAATCAATCTTAAATTCAGATACCTTTTAATAAGGTAATTAACACATTGATAACTGTTATAGACTGTATGGGAAAATGTAAGATTATAAACTGAAACTCATCAAATTTAAGTTTCAAATCCTCATAAGAAACCAAATGACCATGCTGACATTGGGTGCATCTACATGAGACACTAAATGTGCAGTAGTCTAATAATACTGTGCAGTACTGTGTCACAGCACAAAGAGTGCTAATACACTACTGCGCAGTATTATTAGGCTACCGTGCAGTAGCGTTATTAAAAAGGTGTTTGCCAGCGCTACTGGGCAGTACCTCGGGTTACTGCTCATTTATTTAGTACTTGATTATACAGGTACTAAATTTTAAATGCACAGTAACCACTGTGCATTAATTAACGTGTAGATGCATCCACTAGGTACTACTATCAAAATATTGACATTGTGTTAGTATAGTGAAAAATGTAAATAAGTTTAAATGAATATGGAGACATATTTTTAGATTTTATACTATGTTCAGTCCTCAAATATCTCTATAGTATTCCTTTGTAATAAAAGCTTAGAAAGGGGAGGCCTCTTGTGGTGGAAAAAAATAAAATAAAATGATGAGAAAAGGAACAAACTTTTCTTTTTAATTAACTGACTGGGCCTTTTTCTTTCCAGATTAATTTAGCTGCAGAAGTTACTTTCATTCAAGACAGATTAAAGGGTGATGATGTGACAGAAATAGGAATTACATTTTTAAGGAAGCTGGAAGACAAAAAGTGCAAAAAGAAGTAAGTGGAGATAATAAGAGAAGGAATTTTCATAAACTAATATTTAGACCACTTGGTCTCAGAAGAAAATATTTATCATGGCAGTGGTGACCTTCAGATGCAGCTCCTCACATCTTAGAAAGCTGAAGACAGGCAAATAGCAAACACCAAAATGTACAGAAGATTTTACACTCCATGTCGCAGAGTTCAACATAAATGACTGAAAAGGTTTGATCCTTTCCTTCCATCGCCAGGCAGCAATGCCAGTGATTTCAATGGAAATTTTGTTTAAGTAACAAATCTCTTCTAGACCTCAAATCTCCACTTGGACTCCTATTGTTCTTCATTATAAACGTGATTCTCTTTACCGGTTGCTCATGAGTGATATTTCAAAGACTTCAAAATATTAAGTTGTTATAAAAATATACTATATATATTCCAGGAATAAGGATTAATTTGCTGTAAATACTTTGTGCAGTTTCCAATTCTGCCCTTGTTTCACATTTGCTCCTACTGAACTCAGGCCAGGATGAAATTTCATTGGGAATAGGAGCAGATTCTTAGTAAGGAAACCTAATAACTATGAAGTCCAGTGCTTGTCCGTTTGCATGTAGGAGACCTATAGGATTTTGCTAAATAATGCAGTGCTAGTGCTGCTTGAGATTTAGCAGATGCATCTACACATGCAATTAATATGACTGAATAAACTCCGGTGCAACTTGAGGTGGAGGAAACTAAGCCCAATGTCACCGTTTACACATGCATTTAAGCACAGTAATTTACTCTGCCATCAGATGCTACCCGTGTCTGATGGAATTATTCAATGCCAGAGTAAATTAATCTACTGTGCCCTAATTGCGGCACACGTGTAGACGATGATGTTTTACTGTGCAGTAAATTAGTCTACTGTGCAGTAAAGCACATGTGTAGACGTGCCCAGCATCTTACACAGCTTTAATATGAGAGTGATCTTGAGATGGTTTAGCTCATTAGCAGGTTTGAACATTATGGTGCATTATAGTTCATGGTAGCTTTAAATTTGAGCATCACCGAGAAAAGTATAATAAAACATGTAAACATCACTGTGTCACCAGTTCTTCTTTACTTGGCCATGTAAGAACCTGGCTCTTATTATTACTGAATATTTTTCCTCACAATCATAAATGGATATTTTACATCAGCAAATTAAATGTTTTGCTAACTGGAACACAGGAAGTCCTGGAAGAGCAGACAACTGAACCCAGGGTTGCCAGCCCAAGGATTTTTTTTTTTAAACTGACAATCTTCAGTTTTACTGACAGCTAAACTTTTTTACTGATGCATGTTTTTACTGATATGTTTTAAGTAATGTAAATATAACTCTTATTCCAGGACCCAATTAGAAGGGATGCAGTCTGGCCAGGCAGATGGAGTTCAGGAGGCAGGTGTGCTTTGGAGGCAGCCCTGGGATGATGCGTGGCAGCCTAGCAGGTGGTTGCTGCATGTGGGGAAGTCAGAAGGGCCAGATGGTTGTGGGTCAGCCAGTGGTCGGTGTTGGGGGGCCAGCACAGTGGCCAGCAGGAGCCCATGGCCCTGGTTATTGCTGCCCAGGGCAGGGGCAGGAGCAGGAGCAGGAGCAGTCATGGTGCGAAGAGGTGGCAGAGAGGAGAGAGCCGCCATGTGCTGCCCCTGCACTGTTCATGCTGCTCCTAGCCAGGGAAGGGGCTAGCCAGGGAACAATGAGTAAGGCTGCCTTTTCAGAAGGGCTTCCAGCTGCTGGCAGCTTCAGCCAAAGCCTGGAACTCCTCCCAGTGGCAGCAGAGGCCCATTGCAGGGCATCAGGAAGCAGGAGCAGCTTGCTGCCATTGGCAGCAAATCTGCTCCCACTCCCCTGCACGTGTAGACGCCTGCCTGAGACTGTTTACTCGCAAGTAAACTGGTCCCACATCAGATGCATGTGTAGACACACCCACTGGCATGAGTAGTAAACTACTCACAAGTAAATAGTCCTGGGCAGGCATCTACATATGAAAGAATGTGAGAACAGATTTTCTGCTCCCAGCAGAAAACTGCTCCTTCATCTTGCAACCCTTCAATGGGCCCCCATTGCCACTGGGTTGAACTCAGGGCTCCAGCTGCAGCTGCCAGCAGCTGGTAGCTCACTTGAAAAGCCAGCCCCTCTCTCTGCTCCATGGCCAGCCACTTCCCTGGCCAGGAGCAGCACGTGTAGCACAGGAGCAGCACATGGCAGCACTCTCCTCATCGCCTGTGCCTCCCTGTGCCATGGCTGTTCTAGCCCCTGCCCCTGGCAGTGACAGTGCCTCAGGATCTTGCTGGTCTCTGCACTGGCCCTGCTCACCCACCACGCCAATCGCAGGCTGGCCCATGGCTGTCTGGCCCATCCTGGCTCCCTTATGCACAACAACTGCCTGCCCACCGTGCCCCATCCCAGGGCTGCCGTCACTGTGCACCTGCCACCTGGATGCCATCTGCCTGGCTGAGCCCTGTCAGGGTTGCCAATGACAGGCTCCAGGATGCCACCACCAGGGTCACCATTGCTCTCCTGGGCCTCTAGCCATCTCTGGGCCAGTCAGGACTGGTGGTTGCATGTTGTCCAGCACACTTGCAATGATGAGCAGTGACTGGAGGTGTTCAGGATGAGCCGGGCCACCTTCTAGGACCTCCTGGAGCAGCTCTAACCACACCTGGAGTGGCAGGACACCAGCATGTGGCCACCCCTCTCCCTGGACACCAAGCTAGCTCTTGCAGTACATCAGCCACCTCTTTGGCATGGGCAAGGCCACCACTGGGGAGACTGTTCTGTATGCCCCATGGAGACCAGCCCTAGCCTCTCCAAAGTTTCAGCCATGGTGCTGCTGCAGCAGGAAGCCTGTCCAGCAGCTGAAGTGTGGCTCTGGCCAGCCAGGCTCCAATTTTGGGTGGTGCCATGTGCACCACCCAACTTTGCTTTTGTGCAGTCGACCCTCCTCCCCCACCCCCACATGCTGCGAAGTAGCAGTGCTGAGAACTCCTGCGCGTGTACTGTGTGGCACCACAGATGAATCTACAGTGCGACATACCACATGTCCATACTCATCTGGATGTGCCCTCGATGGTGCTGCTGTGTTCTGTCTGCAAGAGCTTTGATAAAGTTGTGACTACTTAGTGTCTTTAGTGGTAGCTAAATATTTTATAGACTTTACTGATAGCCACTTTTATCCTGATTCTTTACTGACAGGGCACATCTACATGTGCAATTAAAGCACACTAATAAAGTCTGGAGCGTATTGCTCCAGAGTTTTTGGCTCCTGGGTGCACTGTTTGACCATGCAGCCTAGAGCAAAAGTCTCTGGAGTTTATTTGTACACAGTATATTGAGCCTGGTTGGAGCAGCCCCAACTGGCAGCAGCCAAGGGCTGCTCCTACCAGGCTCAATGTGCTGCAGAGAGACTGGCTGGGACACAAGGGTGCTTCATTGTGGGGCTAGCTGGCAGGCAGCCCCTGCACTAAAGCATCCTTGTGCCCCAAACAGCCAGGCAGCATCTACACATGCAGTGCTGTGCATGAAAGACCTCCAGAGCAGACTACTTCTTGTATTTACAATAGGGAATATTCACTCCCACAGGGAGGGGACAAAAGGGTGTTATAGCAGGCAGAGGACTGGATAGGGATTCAAGACCTGGGTTCAGTCAGTGTTGCCAACGTTCAGAATATTAACCAATGTTGGGAATGTCTACATAAGATGGTTACTGTGGAACTGCCTACTTAGGTCTGCAGTAAACGTCTCTACATCTACACATGTACCCCTATTAGGATGCACAAAATGAATTAACTCTGGAACAGGCTAGCACTTGTATTTACAATTTAAATGCAAGTACTAGCCTGCTCTGGAGTTTATTCCTTGTATGCCAACACTGTTAATAAAGACAGTTGGCTGATTCTCATAGATCCTGGATGCAAAGTAAAGAGGTACCTAGACCAAGCTAATAGAATTAAACTATTCTCATTCTATCTGGATTCATCTACATGTGAACATGTTCCAGGGTGGGTTTACTCTAGAGTAAACTACTCCAGAGTAAAATACCCACCCTGGGCAGCCATCTACACATGCAGGGAAGTGGGAGCAGATTTACTGCTCATGGCAGTAGTCTGCTCCCACCCCTGCCAGTCCTGCACCAGCCTCCTGCAGCAGCCAGGAGGCTGGTTAACAAGGATGCAGCCCTTGTTAACCCAAGGGCTAGCAGGGAGCACAGGGTCTGAAGACAGCTGCCTGCTGCAGTGGTGGGCTCTGTCACTGGAGTCTGGGTAGGGACAATATCTCCCTGCCCAAGCAGCAGGGAGCTCCAGCTTCAGTTCCACATTCTCAGAGCTAAGGCTGGGAGACTCTTGTCAAGGTCACAGAGCCGAGGCTAGGAGATAAGATCTCCCAGCCCTGGCTCCGCCTATGTGGAACCGAGGCTGGGGCTGAGAGCTCCCTGCTGCTGGGGCAGGAAGACATTGTCCCTACCCGGGCTCTGGTGGTGGAGTCCACCCCAGCAGCAGGCAGCTTCCAGGGGCAGGGAGCAATTTCCTGTCCCCTGCTGCCCAGCAGCACATCTGTTCCCAGTTGGCGGTCTACGGATATTGTACTGTGCAGTAATTGTTTCCTTGTAAATTTGCTACTTGTATTTACAGATAGCAAATTTACTCAAGATTGGAGCAATTTATTACAAAGTAGGGACATCTACATGAAACACTTACTGTACAGTAGCACTAGCACATCGTTTTTCGTGACTGTTACTGCACGGTAGCCTAGTAATACTGCGCAGTAGCTTATTAGCACAGTTTTTTTTACCAGCACGCTGCTGTGCAATGTTATTAAGCTACTGCGCAGTAGCATGCTGGTAAAAAACTGTGCTAATAAGCTACTGCTCAGTATTACTAGGCTACTGTGTAATAACTGTCATGAAAAAAACCATGCGCTGGTGCTACTGTACAGTAACTGTAGTTTCTGCACATTTAGTTAGTACTTCATTAAGCAAGTACTAAACTAAATGCACAGTAAGTACTGCACATTAATGAACGTGTGGATACTCCTAATAAGCAGTTTGCATGTGTAGACAGAGACACTTACTGCACTGTAATTATCTCTAATCTTGAGTAAAGCATCATCTTGTATAGATTCATCCTCTGATCCTGAGTCCTATTAGGTACATGGCAAAACTTTGTAATATTGCAGGATCAAGCCCTGTGTCCACCAGTCTATGCTTACAGGTATTTAGTTTTCTTCAAATGCTATGGAGATACATAAAAGGGTAGTTAACTAGTGCAGTACTTTCAAGTTAATAAGCTTGGGTATCAAACTGTTAAATTTTTTTTATTTATAACTTAAATAAAACTTTTGCTGACTGCTTCCTCAGAAACATGAATGCTACAGGTTCCTGCTACAGACTCAGTTACTAACTGCTACTTATCAGTATTTTCTTTTTTGTTCATTCTACTGTTCAAAAACAAGGAGTTTTGTATATGAGAAGCTATGGTAGTTTCCTAGGTTTCATTCTCTATGTTCTGCTATTAAATACAAATCCAACAAATAGTAATAACACCAAAGCAGATACAGATACACCAGCTCATATGCAATTTTATATTGCTGCCAGGATAAGTACAAAAAGTGGCAAAAATAATCATTCACTTCTTGCTGTGAGCAATACCCTCAAACTATAAATAAAAGTCCTTTATTTTGGCTATTGAGGAATTTCAAAACTGTTTGGAACTAATGAATTCCACAAGGCAAAAAGTGAGATCTCAGTGGTGGGGCAGGTGTAGTATTCTATTACAGCAAAGCTCTTCATTAAAAGGAAAGCAAGACTT